TCGCCTCGATTTGCTCGATCGTTTCGTTTTCTTACCTCGCGTAAAGGCGCGTGAGAAAACCAACTTCTTTAACGAAAACCAGGTTGAACAAATAAAATTAATGAAAAAAAAATTGTTTTGCTGATAACAAAGAGTTAAAGAAAAACATTGATCTCAATCAATAAGTGGGGTTATTTTGCATAATATAATTCAAAGAGACACAACTGAAGTACATTAAGAGAGAGTTGAAGCTAACCCAAAGTGATAGAAGTACGTCTCTAAAGACGGCTAAACCCAAATGATTCTAGTTCTAGTATAGTGGGTTTAGCCGCACGTCTTTAAAGACGGCTAAACCCAAATGATTCTAGTTCTAGGTGTAGTGTTAGTTCTAGATTTACACTTGCACTGTCACTAGAACTATCACTAGAGCTAACACAAGAGCTAGAACTAGAATCATTTGGGTTTAGCCGCACGTCTCTAAAGACGGCTAAACCCTAATGATTCTAGTTCTAGGTATTGTGTTAGTTCTAGTGATAGTGTTAGTGCAAAACTAGAACTAACACTAGACCTAGAACTAGATTATTTGGGTTTAGCCGCACGTCTCTAAAGACGGCTAAACCCGAATGATTCTAGTTCTAGGTCTTGTGTTAGTTCTAGTGATAGTGTTGGTGCAAAACTAGAACTAACACTAGACTTAGAACTAGAATTATTTGGATTTAGCCGCACGTCTCTAAAGACGGCTAAACTCGAATGATTCTAGTACTAGGTATAGTGTTAGTTCTAGTTTTACACTTGCATTGTCACTAGAACTATCACTAGAATAACACAAGACCTAGAACTAGAATCATTTGGGTTTAGCCGCACGTCTCTAAAGACGGCTAAACCCGAATGATTCTAGTTCTAGGTATAGTGTTAGTTCTAGTTTTACACTTGCATTGTCACTAGAACTATCACTAGAATAACACAAGACCTAGAACTAGAATCATTTGGGTTTAGCCGCACGTCTCTAAAGACGGCTAAACCCTAATGATTCTAGTTCTAGGTCTTGTGTTAGTTCTAGTGATAGTGTTAGTTCTATTTTACTCACATATTTTTCATTGAAATAAAACTAGAACTAATACTAGTTTTAATATTAATCATTTACTTTGTCTTCTTCCAATTACTTTAGAGTGTCCGGTAGTTAAGCCATTTCTTGTATTCTTATCTGTTGTTGGCTAAGTTATTTACTTGTCCCAGCGTTTTTCCTCTCTTTCTGAGTTAAAGAAAAACATTGATCTGAATCGATTTTATAAAAAAAAATGTAAAGTGGGGTTATTTTGCATAATATAATTCAAAGAGACACAACTGAAGTGCATTAAGAGAGAGAGTCGAAGCTAACCCAAAGTGACAGCTATAAATCTAGATATACCCGTTAAATCTGAAGTAGTCGCCTTATCTACGCACTTAAACCCTGAACAATAAATCAACAAACACAACGGACCCCTGAGTGAGTGAGTGTGTGTAAACAGACCGACGACTCTCGACAATTCAATCGTGATCGACGAGGCGAAAACTGGCACCAACCACTATTAGATAAAGCACGTGCGTTCCTTTCCGGGGAGAACCGCAAATATTTACACACCCCGGTAGCGACGTTTTTATTTGCCTTGACAGGAAGTTTTTAGAAAAGAATCCACTGATCCCGATTATTATTTATTACCGGTTTGTTTAGGATCTCAACGTAGGCGTTTTCAGGCTACCAGTATTACTCGATCTCATTCCCCCATCTTCGTCCAACGTTATTTTCATATTATCTCGCCTTCGCACTCGTTATGCAAATTAGAAGACCCAGGTGTGGTCGAGAATAACGATGATGTTTATTTTTGAAATGATCTAGTTTTCACCGTAACATCTAACAAAAAAAATAACCGATTATAATTTTTATCTTAATTAATAAATCTTGTTAATTGCAATAAAATTATAAACGACAAAAACAAAAATTATTAATTGCTTCATCGCCGTCAAGTTTCTTAACGTGTAAAAAGAGGTGTTTTGAGATGCTGCAGGGAACATCCGATCGATGGTTCGTCGACACTATTATTACAGAGTAATTACGTAACTAGTAATTCGCAAAAACAGCTGTCTGTGGTTTTGCGATTTTCGATTTTACTCTTTTTAATAACCAATAATTTTCGATATCACTTTTTTAATCCATCTGCATCATAAAATCAGATATGCACGCACAGCTACAACATATATACACATTACTACTTTTATTATAATTAATTAGCCGTCTGAGAGACGTGCGGCTAAACCCGAATATTTCTAGTTCTAGTTCTTCATTCTAGTTTTACATTAGCACTGTTACTATGTAGAACTAACACTATACCTAGAACTAGAATCATTTGGGTTTAGCCGCATGTCTTTAAAGACGGCTAAACTCGATTGATTCTAGTTCTTGGTCTAGCGTTGCATAATATTTCATTCCGACGCTAATTAATGATATAACCTCAAAAATGTTCTTTTTCTACTAGTATATAGCTCCACTTGTTGGAGATATCAAAATAGTTTATTAAAGAGATCGGTTTTAAATCTTATTCTAAACTAATATTGTATGAAACATTTTTCATGTTCTTTATAAAGATTGGTTTAATGTTCTGTCAGCACTATTTAATCAGCTACCCTCAATATCTAGGTTTCTACGAACCATAAGAAGAAGCTAACCATCTATTAGAGATATTTTATCTTTTGCCATAAGTAAGTCTTCCTTCCGGGGTGTTGTTTATTTTTTTCTTAGTAGTATCTAGTTTTGTTCCAACAATGATAGCTTGGAACTTATTTTCTGCTAGCAGTATTTAGTCTTCTGCAAACAGTATGTAATTGTCTGCAAGCAGTATCTAGTTCTTTTCTAGTAGTATCTTCAAGTCTATTAACGCGAAGGGGAGTTATATAGACTGCAATGTAATCATAAGCTGAAACTACATACTGCTTGCCAAAGACAAGATACTACCAATGCAAGACTAAATTATGCTTGTGGAGGACTTATTATACTGACAAAAAACGAAATTTTGTTGGAAAAAAACTAGATTCTGCAGAAAATGACTAAATACTGGAAAATGATGACTAGATTAGACGGAAAAATGTAATGATCAGTTTCGGGTTGATTACTACCATTAATTGGCTAAATTTGGGGTAAAGAATCTATGACATCGCCTTATTAAGTCTAAGGTTGGTTGCTATTAATGTATCGAATGTATCCGAACGTATCTAGTTCTAGGTCTAGTGTTAGTTCTAGCTTTTCTTCAATTAAAAAATATATAACAACCTAACGCTGAATAACAACTAGAAATAGTTAACACTAACACTGGAATTATACACTAGACCTCATTTGGGTTTAGCCCTACGTCTGTCAAGACGGCTAAACTCGAATATTTCTAGTTCTAAGTGTAGTGTTAGTTCTATTTTACTAATTTATTTTGTCTTCCTCCAATTACCTTACGGTGTCAGGGAGTTGAGCCATTTCCTGTATTCTTGTCTGTTGTTGGCTAGGTTCTTTACTTGTCCCAGCATTTTTCCTCTCTTTCTGATTTCTTCTTCTATGTTACTCTCCCAGGTTTTATGGGTTTTCCTCTAGGCTTCTGGTTGTGTATTTCTCATTGCTCCTCCTTCTCTGGTATCCGTACCACTAAAGTTATCTTTTATCTGCTATTTGTACTATAAATTCACGCATTTCCTACCAACCGCCTAGGTACTTCATTTCAGACGCAGTCACTTTTGATCGATATTTATTAGTTATCGCCCGTGATTCGGCTTCCCATGTTAGGGTTGGCATATACAGTGCTTCCCAAAAGTAACGGATAAATTCGTTAAAACAATTATAAACGGTTTATGGAAAAATCGCTGAGAAAAACTGTTTTTGATGGTTTTACCGAATTTATCCGTTACTTTTGGGAAACCCTGTATATGGATTTATACAGATGCATTTTCGGTTTTGTATGCCTACATATACGTATGTTTCTACCCTTTCAATTATCCTTCCATCAATTCTCATTTCTATAGCTGTTTCATTTTGGTTCATCGTTATGAGCATTATTTTGCTTTTATGCACATCCTTCCATATTTCTGTTTCCTTGTAATTGACGTTGGCTTTTGGTTATTAGACGGATGCCATCTGCATCCCTTGTTATTATTCGGTTTAGGTTTAGGTATCCTATGTTTCCCCCTTGTTGGCATTTGATCCTTACCTATTCATGTAGATTTTCGATGTTGCTTTGGAAACCTGTCCAGTTACTCTTCTTTTTGTTTTGCCGTACAGATTTTTAATCAGTTTTATTAATTTATTTGTCATTTGTACTTCTTGGAGTGCTTCCCAGATGTGTTCTCTCATCACCTGATCAAAAAGAGCCTTCAGGTCTAAGTACGCAAGGGAAGCTTCGTTATCCCTATTCAGTGTCTTATCTATTTGTGTATATAAGTTGTCTATATGTGGTCTTGAGTTTGTTTGCCTGGCCTGAATGCTGTTTGTTCTGTATATTCCATGTTTGTTCCATGTTATTGTTTCTGCTTTTCCTCCTGTAGTCCTTCTATAGTTTTCGCGAAGGTGTCTGTATAATGGTCTCTCCAGGCTTTCAGAATTCTTTGTGTTTTTGTTTCCAAACTTTTCTTCTAAGTTTGAAATTTCTGGTTTTCTGGGGCAGAGTATTTTTGAATCATTTTATTGTATTCCAGAATTCCTTCTGGTTGTACAACAACTAAAACTAACACTAGCACCAGAACTAATACTAGACCTACAACTGGAAATATTCGGGTTCAGCCGTGCGTCTTTTAAGACGGCTAAACCAGAATATTTATAGTTCTTGTTTCTTAGTGATCAAAACATCCAGGAAAGGTAATTGTTTAGCAACCTCCCGTTCTGTGGTAAATTTGATCATGGGTGTTGTGAGGTCAGGTGGCATAGAAACCTGCCAAAACTTGATATACATATTTTTTTCATAAAAATAGAAATTATTTAATAATTATTGTAAATTTCTTTTTGTTTTTAGCAGCAGCACGAACATTTCATAGGCCCGGCTTACGATCCGTCAAGAGATCTTTCGCCGAACTTACCGTCCTGCGAGTCGTCAATGGGTGACGTAGACGCGAGCATCTCCAGCAGCAGCTCTTGCAGTACGCCGTCCAATAACAATAATCAGCAGGCGCCGTGCGCTTCGGAGGTGTGCCGTCCTCATCAACAACCCCAACACCATCACCACCACCATCATCACCATCAACATCAGCAGTGTCGGAGATCGCACGATTGTTCTTCAACGGCTGCTTCTCAAGGTCAACCCGACGGTGACGACGATTTTTGCCCGCCAAATTTCGAACATCAAATCCCGAAACTTGAACCTTTACAAACGCCGCGAACTCCGCCGACTCCTCCACCGGGAGGACCTGGTGGTGGTAATCCGGGGGACCAAGACGCGATTTGTGCCGGTTGTGGAGCCCGCATTACCGATCGTTTTTATTTGCAAGCCGTTGACAGACGGTGGCACGCTGCTTGTCTTCAGTGCTGTCAGTGTAGGAACACTTTGGATGGTGAAATCACGTGTTTTTCACGGGATGGAAATATTTATTGTAAAAAAGATTATTATAGGTAAGTCAAAAAAAAAGTATGTTAGAAAGTTTAGATTGATTTTTGATCGATGATTTATCTAAATAGACAACAAACAAGACGAGGTATTGTTAGGTAATCGATGCGAAGAGGGCGGCCCCCCGATGGGGGACACGCGAGCAACTCGCGCGCGTTTCTCTGTCCGTCGATTGTGTAGAGAGCGTTTTCGGACGTGGAGTTGGATCGCACACGGAGTCGAACCGTCGACTTCCCGGGGACACGAAATTTCGACCGGAGCGCAATTTATCGGCTCCGACATAGGGCGCCCGCTTCTCCGGAGGTAAATGGTCCGGTCGTGACCATTAGCGGGTCTTCTCGGCCCCAAACAAGACTCCGAACGATGTCGGTCGGGATTTCCTAGTAATTGATCTACTTAGTTGGGTAATCGACGAAAGAGATTTTTAGAAAGACTGTATCTTCACAACGATCAAGGAAATGATAGTTTTTTAAAGTAAAGAAAATTTTACTCCTCGGTTTTAATTTAATAATTCGTAATTTAGGGTTGAGATAAAATACGTGTGCCATTTCCTATTTCTTTGAAAAACTAACTTTTCTTGAATTGAAGCAAATTTATGACTATATTAATCCATTAAGAACCTAGATCGTATACAGGAAGAGTTATTAGTATCCGGGCGGTCGATAGTTACTAAACCGTTTGTTTTCACTTATACAGAATGTTCCATTTAATCGTAAGATTTTGCCTTGAAACTACGTCAGACAATAGTCAAAGCCAGTAGGTAGAGTATTCAAAGATATTAGATACACTATACGGGTGTTTATAAAACTTAGCTACTTTTGATGTTTTTCAAATGGCTTTTTCTTAAGGTTTTTAAATGAAATACCCTGTATATTGTGTACTAGTTGAATTGCTCATCAAGTTCCCTTTAATTAATGATAAGTATATCATATATCTAACTTTAATAGTTTTCCTGATATTTAGAATTTAAAGAAAAATGTATAATAAAATGTCATTATTGTACTTTTTTTGTCACTTTTTTTGGGCTTTCCTTTTTTGTTTGTCTGTCATTTGTAAATCAGTAATATTATATTAAAATACAATTAAAAAAAACTTTAATAATTAAATTGATAATACAATTAAATGGCAGAACAATAAATCCTTTTTTTAATTACTAAATTATTTGAAGGAAATGCAGCAACAAACTATAAACAATCACTAAACGTTGCTCAATAAGTAGGTATTAATTTAATTCATATTTAAAAATTGTTCAAAATGCCGCCCATTTTCTCTTCTACAAGCATTAATGCGTTGTATAAAAGATCTTGAGGTATCTCTTAACATGTGGATCTTATTTTCTCTAAAGTTGTAAATTATATGGCAGAACAGTACATCTTTTTAAAATCTCATAAAGTACCAAGTCGCATTAAAATCTGGTATATATCAGCAAAATTATTTTACATTATAAAATATGAATCAAACAATAAAAGGAAGAACAAAAAAAACTGATAAACATAGACAGATTGTAATATTAAGTGTAATAACGCATATTTTATTACACATTATTCTTTAAATTCTAAATATCAGGAAAAATACCAAAGTTAGATATATGACATACTGATCATTAATTAAAGGTAACTTGATGGGCTATTCAACCAGCACACAATATACAGAATGTTCCGATTAAAAAACTTATGAAAAAGCCATTTGAAAAACATCAAAAGTAACTAAGCTTTATGAACACGCTGTATAGCGTATTTAATATCTTTGGATATTTTCAATGCAAAATTGGAAAAAATGTCGTTTTTACATTTTTTTTTAAAAGTTGCTGCAATGGACACATTTTAGAAAAACAATTAAATATCTTAAGAGCTATGAATATTATGAGTTAGTAGCATATACGGCTGTATAAACAAATTTAATGCTATTCATAATATGATAAAATATACAGGGTGTTTCATTAAAAAAATCTACATACTCTCCGTTATGCCTAAATGGAACACTCTGTATAAGTGAAAATAATTTTACGTACTAGGAAGTGGTGAGTCAAACAATTTATGTAGAAAACATTTTTTTCTTTCTCAAACTGCGACGCTGCAATGTGGTGATTATTTTGAACTGAACCTCAAGTTTAGCCAATTAATGGTAGTAATCAACCAGAAACTGATCATCACATTTTTGCGTTCAATCTAGTCATCATTTTCCAGTATTTAATCATTTTCTGCAGAATCTAGTTTTTTGCCAATAATAGGTTGTAGCATCTGTTTTACTGCCAGTAGTAATAAGTCCTCTACAAGCACAATTTAGTCCTTCATTGGTAGTATCTTGTCTTTGGCAAGCAGTATGTAGTCTTTTTTCAGCTTATGATTACACTGCAGCTTATATAACTCTCCTTCGAGTTAATAGAAAAGAACTAGGTACTGCTTGTTTGCAAGCTACATACTGTTTAAATACTGCTGGAAGAAAATAAGTTCCAAGCTATCATTGCTGGAACAAAACTAGATACCAAAACCATATGATTGCGTTCATATGGTTTTATAGGTACACAGTTTCTAAAGCTGTTCCTTTGAACAATTTATCATAAACACTTTTTTGAGGACATTATATATAATAACCCAATACAATGATTATCTACATCATCATGCTCGGCTGTTTAGCTCGTTGTGAACCTTGATATGTCTTAACAGTTCTTTCCAAACTTGTCCATTCCGTGTTTCTGGTTTTCCATCCTCTTAGGTTGCTGTCCAAATCATCGACAAAACGTGGATCAATGATAATTCTTGTGGTAACTTTTATGACCACTTTGGCTACATGACCAATCCAAAGGTTGAGATCCTTTGCACTTTTGATAAATTTAACTATCTCTGTTTTGCAATATAAAAGATACAATTCGAAGTTGTAACGCCCCGCCGACACCATACACCGTGATTAACAGCGCCATATATTCTTCTAAACACTTTCCTCTATAATTTCCTTAGCGCCTCGTATTCTTTCTCCACTAAAATGCATCTTTTGACCCATAGCTAGTATTAACTAGTTAGTATTAACCGGCTGTATCTTATCATCCCTAATCTTTGCCACCTTTATGCCCATCCGCTCAGCCTTGTAAAGGCCTTCTTTACCTCGTTTTCTGTAATATCCCTATAATATCTATTTCATCGGCGCCAAGACGTCAAGATTTGCGTCGACTTGTTGGATTTTGTTTGCATATTCATAGTCCTGCATCTCGTACTACAAGGTACTACCTTTTCCAGGTCAATGTTAAAAAGCGGATATGACAGCCCATTTCCCTTTGTGGCTTTCAAATGTTCTGATAGATCTCTTATGTTCTTACTTGCGGCTTGTTTTTGTTACTATATTCAATGAGTACTATAGGACCAGAATCATACAAACACATATCGCTATACATGCTACTAAATCCAGCTTGGTCCTGAAAGGGTTAATGAAAACTTTAGATCGACCCACACATCAAATTAGACTTTAAAGTGTCCTCTTTCATTTGGTATATAACTATTTATTGTTATATGCTAATTATGTTTTTAAAAAATTATAATTGATAACCCATTGTTTTTGGGACATTTAGTTGTTGTTGAAAATAAAAAAATCGTCCAAGCGTTATTTACGAAAAGTTATTAATGATTTAGGTATCAAATGAAAGCTGAGAATGTCTTCTTTAAGATGGTGTATAATAATTGATAATAAGTTATCAAATTTTCCTTAAAAATATTAATAAGTAAAAATGTGTATTGGGGTAAATCGTAATTTATCAAAAAAATTCTTTGATTTTGAAAAATTGCCCAAGCTGTATTTATGAAAACTTTACAACGCTCCATATATAAAATTAAACTTTAAAGTGTCCTCTTTAATTTGGTATATAACAATTAATTGTTATTTGTTAATTATGTTTTTAAAAAATTTAAATTTAAAACCCATCGTTTTTGGGATACTTAATTATTGTTGAAAATAAAAAAATCGTTTAAGCATTATTTATGAAAAGTTATTAATGACTTTGGTATCAAATGAAAGCTAAAAATGTCTTCTTTAAAGTATATTATAATTAATAATAAGTTATCAAGTTTTCCTTAAAAATATTAATAAGTAAATATGTGTTTTGAGCTAAATTGTAATTTATCAAAAAAATTGTTTGATTTTGAAAAATCGCCTAAGCTGTATTTATGAAAACTTTGCAACGAACCATATATCAAATTAAACTTTAAAGTTTCCTCTTTAATTTGGTATATAACAATTAATTGTTATTTGTTAATTATGTTTTTAAAAAATTAAAATTGAAACCCCATTGTTTTTGGGACATTTAATTATTGTTGAAAATAAAAAAATCGTCCAAGCATTATTTACGAAAACTTATTAATGACGTAGGTATCAAATGAAAGCTGAGAATATCTTCTTTAAAATGGTATATAATAATTGATAGTAAGTTATCAAGTTTTCCTTAAAAATATTAATAAGTAAAAATGTGTTTTGAGCTAAATTGTAATTTATCAAAAAAAATTGTTTGATTTTGAAAAATCGCCCAAGTTGTATTTATGAAAACTTTACAACGATCCATATATTAAATTAAACTTTAAAGTGTCTTCTTTAATTTGGTATATAACAATTAATTATTCTTTGATAATTATGTTTTAAAAAAATTAGAATGTAAAATCCAATATTTTTAGACACTTAATTATTGTTGAAAATAAAAAAATTGTCCAAGCATTATTTACGAAAACTTATTAATGACTTAGATATCAAATGAAAGCTAAGAATATCTTCTTTAAAATGGTATATAATAATTGATAATAAGTTACCAAGTTTTCCTTAAAAATATTAACAAGTAAAAATGTGTTTTGACATAAACTATAATTTATCGAAAAAAAATTATCTAATTTTAAAAACTCACCTCGGTCGTATTTATAAAAACTTTAAAACGATCCATACATCAAATTAAACATTAAAGTGTCCTCTTTAATTTGGTATATAACAATTAATTCTGATTCGATAATTATGTGTTTAAAAAATTAAAATT